ATATTTATCGTTGTTTTGGAAAGATTGTGGCCTATGGGCACTTGTGGTACGAGTTGATATATCATGTCATTGTGATGGTAGCACATGTGAATTGTGGTGTGGATTGATTGTTGTTATGCGGAGCATAAGGATGGCATCTCACTATTGTTGATTGTGCGAAGTGATACGGGTGGCTATTGTGTCATTGTTCGGGTGGAGCGATAAGGGTGGCTATTATGCGAAGTTATACGGGTGGCTATCAGAGTGATACTGGTGGCTAATGATATTGCCAGGGCGGAGTAATACAGGCGGCTATTAGACAGATAAGAATGGCAATGTCAGGGATGATGTGTGATGGTTGGGGGCTTTATGTTGATGATATTCGTGTGATGGTTTGATTTTCCTTCTGTATATTATACACCTTACGTGACTTGTTATTTTTATTGAATGATATACTCGATGTCTTTGATATTACTGTTGACTTGGGCTGTAATAGTACCCTCGCACAAGCATACACCGTATCATGCCACTTATACTAGTTCAGGAGTACGAAAACTTGATATTTATTGATCATGCCCATGTATTTTTGTATTATCTGCTTTTATTGTGATATTGAGCCTGTTACCATCCCAGGCAAATTGTGATTGTGAGCTTGTAATCATGCCGGGCAGATTGAGATATTGACACGTGAGTTATTCGTGCGGTGGTGATTAGAAATGTGGGCAAAAGGTGTCGTGAGGATATGACTATGGTTAGACTCGTGGCTTGTGATTATGAGATGAGGTATCTCAGGGCAATTTGCTATGAGACTTGTGTTAAAACGGGGTTTGATTAGTTGATTGTCATTTTTTCCCTTATATGTTATCGCTGATACTTTAACAGTGTTCTTATTACTTTATTATTTATATCATATGTTGATACGTGTTGTCATTTACTAATTTCTATTTATTAGCTTTATACTTTTATAATGCACAAATTATTTTAACTAGTAGGTGTCTTAACTTGTATTCGTTACCACTCCACCGAGGTTAGTCTTGATACTTACTGGGTACCGATCGTGGTATATTCGTACTGCACTTCTTCATATTTTTTTGCAGATTCAGGTATTGGTGATATCGGACTCAGGCAGAGTTAGCTTATAGGTCGTGAGGATTCAAGGTAGAGTTGCTTGGTTGTCGCAGTCCCTTAGAGTCTTTTCTTTTATTGTATTATCAGCTTGATATCCGAACAGTATTGTATTTCAATTTTTGAGATATTCTATGTATTTAGCTAGAGTTCGTTACTCTGTATTAGGTTGTGGTGATTTTTGTCGCGTAGGCTTATTTTACATTTATTTCGGTATTTATATAAATCTCTGATTTTAAAATATCATGGTTAAATTGGCTTAACTCTTGTAAGTAATCGACTTACCTAGTCTTAGAGACTATGTGTCATCACGATGCCTAAGGCGGGACTTTGGTTTGTGACATTGTCGATGTTGGTATCACAATCTTGATTTACTCTCTGCTCAATGAATTTATCGTCCACAAGGCTAACTAATGATTACTAACTATTCTGATTTCATAAACTCGTCTTTATCTTATTACATATTTTCTTGGAATTAGTATCAAACTAGACAATCATTTTTATTCTAGTAGCAATTCCTTGACTGTGATAACCCAAAAGGTCATCTCTTATTTTAGAAGTTAAATATGTGTTCCGAGGCATAAAAATCTCCTTTTGTCTCTCCTCGATTTGCATGCACAGTTTGAGCATATATACGGAAAGCCCTTATGTGAAAATTTTTAAGAAATAATGAATTTTGGCTTAAAAGATATTTTTTGTTGACTTCGGCCAACTTTTTTTGTAAACGGACCTGGACTCGGGTTCTGACAGTCCCGAAAGGTCTGTAATAAAATATGGGACCTGGGCGTATTCCCAGAATCAAATTACGTGGTCCCTAGCCCGAGAAATAAATTTTTGAAGAAAATTGTTAACTGAAAAATATAATAGTTTATGAAAATTGAATAGTATTGGAACTTGATGGAGTCGGGCCCGTATTTTGGTTGCGGAGCCCGGTACAGGTCCGTTATAATATTTAAACCTTATCTTTAAAATTTGGTGAGAAACGGAAGTAATCTAACGTGATTCGGATCTTTGGTTGAAAAAATAGGAAGTTTGAACTATCTTGAATTTTTTTTGAGTTTTGGTGTTAAATGCGTTGTTTAAGATGTTATTTTGGCAATTTGATCGCACGAGCAAGTCCGTATGATATTTTTAGACTTATGTGCATGTTTGGTTTGGAGCCCCGAGGGCTCGGGTGAGTTTTGGATAGGCCACGAAGTGTTTTGAACCTTAAGGAAAATTTGCTAGTATTGCAGGTTTGCAGACTTCGCATTTGTGAAGTCTGGCTCGCAAATGCGAGCACCATAATTTCGAAGAACTATCGTATTTGGGATGACTGGGCTGGGCAGGGGACTTTCGCATTTGCGAAGTTTATCCTCGCAAATATGACATTAACAGTGATCGCAATTGCGAACATTTAGTCGCATTTGCGAAGGCAGCAGGTCAGGCCAAGCTTCGCATTTACGAAGCATTGGTCGCATTTGCGAGTTCGCAATTGCAAACCTATGATCGCAAATGCGATACCTGCAACTTCTAACTTATTTTCTTCAATCTATTCCATTTTTTTTACAAAATTTTTTCACAAAATCGAGGGATTTTCATGAGGGGATTGGGTGTTTTTGGGTAGAATTTAAGAATTTCAAAATTTAGGGATTTAGACCTCAAATTGATGTCGGATTCCAAAACCAATTATATATCTGGGCCCGGGGGTGAATGGATAATCGGATTTTGATCCGAACTTCGAGTTTTGACCAAGCGGGCCTGAGGTCGAGTTTTGACTTTTTGGGAAAAATATTGGAAAACCTAAAATTAAGCATTGGAATTGATTTCTTTAGCATTTATTGATGTTGTTAAGTTAATTATGACTAGATACAAGCGGATTGGAAGTGGAATCGAGTGATAAAACGGTAATTGAGGTTTGATTGTGGCCGTGAAATCGAGGTAAGTGTTGTGGCTAACCTTAGCTTGAGGGATTAGGTATTTTTTGCCCTATTTGCTACTTGTTAGCTATTTAGTACGACGTATAGGTGTGATGACGAGTATCTATATGTTGTTGTCGGGTCATAGCATACGAGTGAGTTCTATACTTGTAACAGTTGTGTTTCTTTTTACGTATATTTCCTCCTTAAGCTAGTTATTGATCATGTTAACAAGTTTTGCTATGTTGTTTCTGATTTGGACATTGGGGGAGTATTGACTCAAGTTGAGATTTCTATTGTGAAATTAAATGATGAAACAGAGTTGTTTGATTGTGATTCCTTTGCCAGGTTGTTGTTGTTTTTGTTGTTGTTATGGTGAGGAAGAGTGATAAAGCATGAAGGGTGATGTCGTGCACATTAATACTTATGCATATGGTGAGGAAGAGTGATAAAGCACGAAGGGTGATGTCGTGCACATTTTCGTTTATATTGATGCATATGGTGAGGAAGAGAGATAAAGCACGAAGAGTGATGCCGTGCACATTTCTATTATTCATATGGTGAGGAAGAGTGATAAAGCACGAAGGGTGATGTCGTGCACATTTTCGTTTATATTGATGCATATGGTGAGGAAGAGAGATAAAGCACGAAGAGTGATGCCGTGCACATTTCTATTATTCATATGGTGAGGAAGAGTGATAAAGTACGGAGGGTGATGTCGTGCACATTTCTATTATTAATTGCATGGTGAGGATTGAGAATAAAAGCACGAAGGGTGATAACGTGCATTTTCTGTTTGCTGTGATTATTTGTTGTTATCGGTCCCAGTGCATTAATTGTTAATTTTCGTAATTACTGTGATTTCTTATTCTGGTAACCCCATAGCATGTTGCCCCTTCCCATTAATTTCTGTTTAGCTTCTATTATTGTTATTCTGTTAGTATGTTATTTAACTGCACAGGTTTATGTTGGTTGTCGTGTCCTAGCCTCGTCACTACTTCGCTGAGGTTAGGCTCGGCACTTACCAGTACATGAGATCGGTTGTACTGATACTGCATTCTGCACTTTCTATGCAGATTTTGGTGACGGACCTCGTGAGTAGAGTTTGGGTGGCTGCTTTCAGTCCACCGGAGACCAAGGTAGTCCTCAGCGTCCGCAAGCCCTGGTGTCCCCTCCTATCTTATTTTATTTTTGTTTTATCTACTTTTGAGACATATGTATATTTCTTTGTTCAGACCATTTTCTCTAGTATTCGTAAACTATTCGTGAGTTGTGACACCAGTTCTGGGTGGATTCTTATTACGGTTTTCGTTATTGGCATAAAGATAATCTTTAAAACTGTGTTCTTCCGCATTTATTTTCGCTGATTTACTTTTGTAAGTTTTAATTGTTAAAAGATAAAAGAAAAATGTGAAATATTTTGTAACGTTGGCTTGCCTAGCGAGTACAATATTAGGGCTATCACGGTCCCGAGGTGGAAAATTCGGGTCGTGACATTGACGCACAAAAATCATATACTTTTCTTTTTATTCTATCTCAAAAAGAACATCATACTTCCTTATTTAGAAACAATTTAACTTTATATTTATCATTTTACCCTTAATAACATCACTTATAGCTATACAAATAGTGAATTCGTTAATGTTATTGTTGTTTTCGTAATCGATATACGTTGGTATCCCAATCCTTAGCTACTAATAATGTTTACTAATACAGTAGTTTTATAGTAGTTACTCCATTTTTACTACTTTTTGCTCAATGAATTCATTGTCAGCATTGCTCAATGAATTCATTAACGGACAAATGTGTGATACTCTTTTCTTTTTATTTTTTCTTAAAAAGAGAGTCATACTTCCTTATTTAGAAATAATTTAATTTTAAATTTATTATTTTATCCTTAATAAAATAATTTATAACTATACAAATTTTTATAGCTTATTTTTAGACCACAAATTTTAAAAAAAATTCTTTATTTTAAGATTTCGTGGATCGGAGAAGTAATTAACAAAAAGGGAGTACTATAGTAGTATATTACTGCATAGTAATGGTACAACAGAGAGGGAGTTTCACGACCCCAGGTTTATTACATAAACGGACCCTCAAGAAAACTATTGCTCAACATATATCTAATATAAGCTGCTCAACATATATCTAATATAAGTAACATATCATGGCCATCTCCTTCACTCGTTGGCATTATTCCTGACACCGTGCTGCTCATTAATAACTGATTCTGAAACAAAAAACATAAAAATAAAAGTCATAAAAAAAGAAAAAAAGATCAGCACCTTTCCTCAGTCAACAGTCCCGCTAGCTATTAATATACAGTCAATTAAAACAAGAGTTCTTATGTGAAGCATTTTCACGGTAACTTTTTCACTCAAATTCAGTTTCCTTATTTTTCTACCCTTTTTATTTTCTTCACATGTACAATCTCAATTTCATAAATCAGCTTTCCCTCTAAAAAGATTTTTTACACTATCAGTATGATTAACCCGTTATGACAAGTTATCAGTATTATTTTATAAACTACTAGTACCCCTACTATCGACAGTAAATAATAGTTATCTTTTAACTTGTATGAAATAATTTACAGTAACACATAAATGTTAAAGCAGCAAAAAAAAAAAATGGAACTACTTACGCATCCATAGATCGATTTGAAGTGAACATGCAAATTCGTTTAAAAATAAAAAGGAATTAACTTATTAACACTCATAGCGTAATAAACTTTTAAGAAGTCAGGTTACGGCCAATTGTAATTAAAAAGTTTACTTAACTTGTAGTAATTGCTTTCTAATAAATTGATATTCCAAATATTTTTTTATAGTTTCAGTGCATAAAACTTACGTATCACAATTGATGGTCTTGGAGACGGGGACGTCCATGGCGACACCACACTTAGAAGCAAGAGCCTGAGCAGCATCATCTTTAAGGTTTGTGTAACGGTTGGCTGCTGCCTTAACACAGTTACAAGCTGTCCTTCTGTCATCTGTGGTTGCAGCCATTCCTTTCAAGTTTTTCACCCCACTGCAGCAAGCTGCTCCTGGCTCACCACCTTGTAAAAGATCGACAATCATAAAATAAAATGAAGAATTTAATTGAGGCTTTTAGATAGAGTGGAGAAAAGAAAAAAGATTCAGAAAATGATAAAACAAAATTCACCGGCTTATATATATATCTTAAAAAACAAAACATGAGCTACAGTCAAATAAAATAAGAGTTTATTTTTTTTTATTTTTTAAAGTTTTCGGGTCATGTTTGTTATGAAAAGTTACCATGTTATTGCATAGAACTTAATCAGGTAATACTTGACTAGGTACAACAATTAAAATAGAAAGAAGAAAGACTTTTAGAGCTTATAATCTAAACATGTCATGACATTTGCATGTATGATTATAAAAGAATATCATTAAAGGTAAAATACAAAAATTGAACTTAAAAATTTTGAAGGGGAGCCTTGTGACCCGGAGGTCACGAGTTCGAGTCATGAAAACAACATCTTGCAGTCCTTCCAGAACCCCGCGCATAGCGAAAGCTTAGTGCACCGGGCTGCCCTTAAACTTAAAAGTTTCCTAATATTATAGAAAAAGTGTCCTTTTTTTTAAAACAAAATAGAGAGTGTCGTTGCATAAATGGATCAAAAGTGGTATATGTGTTAGTGCACATAATAATTTTAACTCATAAAATAACATACCTTGAGTAAGATAAGGTACACAAGGAGCCAAAGCAGCGTCCACTTGACCACAAGTGATGGCCTGTGCTGGTTCAGCTATGAACTGAACTAACACAACAATAACTGCTACTGCAACAGCCTTCATTTTCTTTCTTTTTTGGGATTTGAGGGGACTTTAGTTATATGTCTTTTATATATATGTGCTAAAATCTCTTTGCTGTTTTTCTTTTTTTATTTGAATGGCCTGTATTTATAGTGGATTGGAGAACGGGAAAAGGTTAAACGGAGGATAAGAATGTGTCAGGATGTTGCAAAATTAGTTATAGTAATTTGTTTTTTCTTTGATTCAATACGCCATATGGTGTGCCTAATTTAGCAAAGATGACGAATTATTAGCAGCTGACTGTGGTCCCTTCTTGTTGCTCTTATGCGACAGCACATTTCTTCAGAACTCTCGTTTCATATGCATGGATAGAGTAAGTAACAGAGTTGTGATATGATAAACGGATAGATCTTTTCACCCTTAATCATAAGTCTCGCGCTTGGAATAAAAAGAATACTGATAGGGAGCTCTTCACCCTTAGAAAAACATTAATTATGTAGAGTATATTCAAATTAACCGAGGTTCCAGCAAAATAAATGTTGAATACCGAATAGAAAAAGAAAAAAGAAAAGAAAGGGCTCTTGATAATTAAGATGCAGGCTGAAGAGCTTACGATTTGTTAGAAATTTACTACCACCGGTAGGTTTTTCGGTTTTTCGGAATTAGCAAATTTACTGCAAGAGAAAAGACCATTAGATAGGGAAAGTTAGAGTATGATTTAGAAAACAATTATCGCCGTCAATCACTAAAAGTCCCCAATGTTAAGAGTATATAATTAGTTTAAAATTTAGTTGTTAAAAAATCCGTGTATATGGCTAACCAATCAAATGAAACAGTAATCACCCCGTCTTAATTTATGTGGTACTTTCCAATTCTTGGGAAACAAATTAATTAACTTTATAGTTAAAATATATTAGATTCATTCAATATTTTATAATTAAAATTTAAATATTAAAAAATAAATAAAAGTATTATTAATTGTAATTTTTCTCGTGTGAATATGATAAAAATAAATTTTAAAATAATCAAAATACATTTGCACTTGAACTTAGTCTAGAAAATTCCGTTTCACACTAAAACTTTATGACGTTCATGTTCCCCTTATTCCTATTTTTAGTGAAACTAATACCACCGTGGGACATATAACACCACTTTCATGGTTGGGGTGATATACACTCGTCCTAGGTAAGTGCCACCTCAAAGACAGCTTGATAATTTGCCAGATTTTAAATAAGTTTTATTTTTCCTTTTTTCATCTTCTACCACGTCATTTTCCCAACTTTTTTGTCCTTAATTTTTTCTTTTTACACATCTTCTTCATTATTCCACCGACCAATTTTTAAGCTCTAAAATTCTCACTGATCTCCCTTTTTGTCACCACTTTGTAGTTACCTCAACCTAAATTCTTCCCCTATTTCCTTCATCGACTCAGCCACCGTACTTTCTTTCTCGAGTTAGTGAAGCTAGAAATTAACATCAGTCATGGAGAATTCTAATTTTTCAGGGTCAACACCATTAATGTTGATATTTTTATTGAATATACTCAAATTTAACTTCAATACGAAAGTGATCTTCCAAGTAAAAAGTATTTTAATTGTTTTCTTTCATTTTTAACAAACCTAGAAACTAAAATCCATAAACACACTGGCGAATTCTATCCACCTCATGTCACTGGGCATTAGTAGAGCATTGATTTTTCAATAATCTTTATTTCTTTTTTAATTTCAGACGCGGGTTACTGAATCAATAGTGGCTCTTCTCTAATATTGTTTAAAAAGAATTTCATGCCGACTGGTAGAAAAAAAATGAACTACATTTATGGCTGAAAATGGTGACAAAGCAGGGAAGAAGAAAGGGAAGCGTAGGGCGAAGAGTGTAAAGGATAATTCTACATGGACTCTACTCCTATATTTTAGGATTTTTGTAGCCAAAGGACTTATATATCTCTAGGCATAGAAGTCTTATATATCCGGGAACTCTTTGTATATATTGGGGTTGTGTAGTCATGTTTAAGTATGAGAATAAAAGAACTTTTCATGTTATCGGAGTCCTAAGAGGTTTAACAACCCAGGACTGTCTTTACAGAAAAGAAGAAGACGGTGACTGGTATGGGGGATAAAATCAATTCTTCGTCCGCCTCTCAGTCTCCCATATCTTACTCTATGCCTTCCCCAAATCTGGCACATCAGCTACCGGTAAAGCTCACGTCGACAAGCTTTCTGTTATGGAAAACACAGTTTATGCCAATGGTGTGCGGCTGTGGACTAAACCATCACATTGATGGTAGTGAACCAGTTCCTGAACCTCTTTTAGAGGACAGTAAACCAAACCCAGCATATAAAGTGTGGGTGGGAGAAGACCAACCTGTATTAAGTTGGATTGTTGCATCAGTTTCACAGGGTATTTTACCTCAATTAGTTGGAGCGCGGAGCGCTCGTGCAGCTTGCGATAAGCTTGTTGCTGCATATGCTTCAGGATCGAAGCCTCAAATTCGTGAACTCAAGATGCAGTTGCATACTTTGCGTCGTGACAATGCGAGCATTGAATCTTATATACAAAAGGCAAAAGGAATTGCGGATAGACTAGCTGCGCTACAACATCCGATTTCCAATGATGATTTGGTTGAATTTGTTCTTGCTGGACTAGGTCTTGCTTATCGTCCTTTTACTAGATCACTAGAATCGCGTCAAGAAGATATTACTTTTGATGCTTTATATGGCCTTCTTTTGAATGAAGAGCGACAATTAAAAAGAGATGAGACCATTAATGTCATTGCACCCACAGCCCACTTTACTAAAAGTTCCTTTTCTAGCACTCGGGGACATGGTAGAGGACGAGGAGGGCGTGGTCGTGGACGCTCCTCCAACCAAAGGTTCACCCAGCAAAACTCTTATCATAGTTCTCCAGCATCTAACCAGTTGCCAAAGGCACAACCACAAGTTTCAGAATGTTCAGGGATTATTTGCCATAATTGTGAAGGCAAAGGCCACATTGCACGTGTATGTCCATCACCTAAAGCCAATAGTGGCAGCATGGTGAATGGTCGACCTATTTTCAATTTTGTTGGTTCTTCAAACCCACCTACTCAAACTTGGTTGATGGATAGTGGCACCACACATCATATCAGTGCAGACCTTGATAATCAAGGTATCCACTCTGAATACCAAAGTCCTGAAGAAGTGACACTAGGTAATGGCTCCAAATTACCCATCTCTCATGTTGGTAAAAATTCCGTTATTGTCTCCAATAATAAATTCAATCTTGATAATATTTTACATGTTCCCACTGCTACTCACAATCTATTATCAATTAGCTCTTTTGCCAAGTCTAATAATGTGTCTTGTTGAATTATTTCCTAACCATTTTTTGATTAAGGACTTGGCAATGAGGGAAATTCGATACACGGGGTCCATGAGTGAAGGCTTATATTCACTTCCAGTGTTGAAATCATTATCACCAGTTTCATGTGCAACTTCCCTTGGAGTTTGGCATGTTCGTCTTGCTCATGCATCCTATCCTACAGTTCGTCATGCTTTACCAGCCACTGCTCTCACCTCATCAACGCATAAAAACACTAGTATATGTTCTACATGTGCTCTTAGTAAGAGCCATAAAATTCCTTTTAGTGAATCTAGTTTTCAGGCCACAGGGCCTTTAGATTTGATATGTTCGGATGTTTGGGTCCCTGCTCCAGTAGTTTCATAGGATGGTTATCGTTAATATGTCATCGTTTTTGATCATTTTAGCAAATATACTTGGATTTATTTCCTTCGTTTTAAATCTGAAATATTTTCAGTTTTTCGTCAATTTCGTACCATTGTTGAAAAGTATTTTGGTCGCCCTATTAGATTTTTCCAAGCCGATTGGGGAGGTGAATTTCAAGTCTTAACGAATTATTTGCGTGATAATGGAATTGTCCAACGTTCCTCTTGTCCTTATACACCTGAACAAAATGGTTGTGCCGAAAGAAAGCATAGGCATATTGTTGAAACCGGTCGTGCACTTTTGCACCATGCCAATGTTCCCCATTACTTGTGGACAAATGCATTTGAAACTGATGTTTATACTATTAATCGATTGCCAACTCCTCGTTTAAAGAATCAATCACCATATCGTATTTTGTTTCATATGGATCCGGATTATTCTCTGTTGCGTATCTTTGGTTGCTTATGCTTTCCTTGGCTTCGTCCTTATAAAAAGGATAAACTTTCACCTCGATCTCGCCCTTGCGTCTTTTTGGGTTACAGTAAATTGTACAAAGGGTACAAATGCCTTTACCTGGTTTCCTCCAAAGTTTATGTTTCTCGTCATGTAATTTTTGATGAATCTCCATTTCCCTTTGCTTTGCAGGGTGGTGTGTTGCCTAAATCCTCAACCAAGGAAACATCTCCTTCACTTATCGTTAATCTTCCTTATCAGCAGACCCCATCAACCCTTAACTCATCACAAGCAAACCCGCACCAAACCCAAAATCCCTTGCCTCTGCCTTCTGTCACGCAATCAGCACCTATGCCACCTGATAGTGTTGTTCATGGACAAAGTACTAGTACTGCCTCTTCATCTCCATTGGGCATCCCTCTGTGTGAAGACTCATCCTCTTATAATATGTCTGATACATCAGCTGCTCCATCTAGACCTGGAAACTCCATTGTTCCACCCACACATGGAATGGTTACAAAAGCACAAACAGACTCCTTGAAACCGAAGCGACCCTTTTCCTTGTTGGCAACTACAATAGTCTCACCTCATCCCTCTTGCTATTCACAGGCTGCTAAGGATGTTAATTGGCGTCGAGCTATGTCAGAATAGTATAATACTCTCATTCAAAATGGCACATGGCAACTAGTTCCTCCTTCACCATCCCAAAATGAGATTGATTGCAAGTGGGTGTATAAAACAAAGTTGAAGGCAGATGGATCTTTGGATCGTTACAAAGCACGACTTGTGGATAAGGGTTATTGATTAACCAAAAATATGATTCTTTGATCAAAGCTAAAGACAAATAGAAATTCGGGCTACTGATAATCAGGAGACGAAAAAGAAATAATAAACTTTTTGAGAATGACCAATAAGCAGTAGATAAGTTTTTCTCTTCCTGTAATGTTGATGGTATCCTCCTTT